CGACGTTGTGGCAAAAATGAGATTTGGTAACCCTGAACTCCAGGCATTGAGGTTTATGCATACGAGTAAAAAAATCGTTCTAAAAACAACAGATTTGTCAAATAATAGCTAGGGAAAATACCGCCTATCAAGACAATGCCTTCAAAGAATAAACAGTTTTATCGCACTCCTGTAAAATTTGAGTGCCGTAAGATAGGCGGGGTTTTGCAATTGGGCGATGGGCGGTTTTGCAAAAACATCGACGATATGTCATTAGAGTTAAATACCTATTTTATACCAGAAGTTCTTGGAAAAATATAGAATTATTGCCTTAATTTATTTTATTAAACATGACAAATATTGCACACACAATATCTTAGGTAGATAGTAGTAGATGATTTTAAGAAATAAGTAAAGTATCAGTATGTATGTATGTACAAATGTAAATACTCTTTCTTTTAATAATTACCATTATTTTTGTTCGACAGCATCATAACGTGGCGTAAATAATTAAAATAATAATGTAAAAAAACACAACTCAAAAAAAAAATTTGTATTTTCAATTTCTTAAAATAATACCTATCCAATAACACCGTCGTTTGGAGTGCACACTTAGTACCGCTAACATCAACTAAATATAATAGGATGCCACGTTATCGTCGGAAATTATTAACTATGGAACGTATGAGCTGTGAAAACGTGTCTCTGGAAAGACATCCTCTTCCATTTCGATGCGAGTATCACTGTTGCCCAGCAACGATTCGGCATCCTCCTCCAAGTGACGTATGGGGTAGCTGATACCATCGCCCATGCTGCTCGTATATGCCGAAAAATACATACTTATAGACAATGCATGTACATATATGTGTGGGTTTTATGTTTTTTTTTTTTTAATTTTAATGAGCATAATATTGGGATGCATATTTTTAGAAAGCTTTTTCGAATGATATCTCAATAGAAAAAGGCTTTCAACTGCAACTGCCTCAGCCAGAATTGCGCTGTAAAACTACCAAATATATTCATACTTCTATGACAGGATTGCAAGATACTAGCTCGGATATTTCATCCATTTTAAATTACATCCAACTAATGGAAATATTTTTTTGTTCATGATTTCATACATTAACTAAAAAACTACTGTTGTAATACCTGTTTTTGTATTAATTGCGTTGAATCTGTACGATCCACAAGCAGATAAATTTACCTCTATGAATTTTGAGTTAGCTCACTTTAGATCTAGATGCGCGACATGTTTGGACTTGAAACATAGTTCGAAGCTAATTTTTAAAACGCAGTGTGAAAAAATAAATTATGGGTGAGGTCTCACATGGATCTTGCCTTAACTCTCTAATGGGCCTTTAACTAATTTTTACGACTTTTAAACAAAATAAGTCTTTCGTTAATTAACGAATTCAAATGCTCTAATGAAATATTCCTTCTGAAATTGTGGGTCCTTTTCCTCTCAATATAAAAAGTATATTAAAAATGTCGGCGCATTTTTAATCATTAGATGTTAACAAAACAATCACAATTGTGTTATTTTAGAATACTTTGGCTAATGATTTGGCAGCAATAAACAAATGTGAAAATGCTGTTTTAAGGATAAATTGTTTTACCCTAGCTATTCTCCAGAAATAAAAATTTGTATGTACACTAAAGCCTTTTGTCTTGTTAACTTTACAATAACAAAATGAACTACAAAGATTTTTAAAACTTGCATGCACGACTACAAAATAAAATTGCGCAAGAACCTATTTATATGTACTAAAAATATAATCTATATAACCATGAAAAACTGCAGCTGAAATGAATAGAAAACATACATACATATGTACATATATTCACAGCATGTTACAAGCTAATTTGGCAAATTAAAAACACAAATTTCTTTCGCAAATTATTGAGTTTTACTTGAGAATGTTCTTACAGATGCTTATACATACATTTGGTTTTTAAAAGTAAATAGATTGTATCGAACTTGGATTTAAAGATATACATAGGTATTTACATAAGAACATAATTATGTATGTATTACAAAATATTACAAAAAAATACATAGTTGGTAGGTAGCTAGATAAAACAAATTACAAATTAATTCAAGTAGAAAAGACTAATGCATACACAGACGATACTAGGCATGAGCAGATACATGATACATAAATGTATACAAAATAAAAAAGAACAACACATACAGAAACATGACACATCATTACATACCACAAAAATAAAAAGTTGAGCTTTGAAAATGAAAAAAAATTATTAAAAATACTTATGAGGTGAGCTGCAAGGTATTCTACTTGCATTATTGCTTGTTTATGCTATTTTAATTTCTCCATGATACGACGAAAGATGCTTTAATTACATAAAAATAGATAATAAGGTGAAAGAATTATAATTTTTATTGTAAAATTTTTGTAAGTAAAACAAATGTATGCTCAATTAAACTGTATCAAAAGCTTTAACTAACTGGCAAACATATGGTTTAAACTACACTAACAGCTAAGGTATACACTTATTTATAGGTTATGTTTCAAGTAGGAATCGACAAATTTAAAAAAATTAATTAAATAATTGATTTTTATTGTATACAAATTAGTTATGTGCATACGTCACTAATTGTATTTAACTTTGAGGCATGTTTTTTCAAGAAAAAATCTAGTAAAATACATTCTAACAAATTTTGCTAGTTTTCTCTTGTTTCGTTAAATTATTTCGTTTTCCTATTTACTTAGGTTACTAAAATACATATTTTCAACACAGTAAAATAAATATTAATAAAATGCAATTTTTATTAGATTCAAATAGTAAGTTTGTAGAAAGTTAAAAAAATAAATAAATCTGTCATCAAATCATCAGCTACAAAAATTTGCGCGTCTTTTATTTCACTGTTGACCAGTTTAAGAGTTATTGTTTTAGCAACTCAACCGAGGAATACTCAAACATTAGTACTGGTGCGTAGCTACTAGTCAAACATCATAAGGATTTCGCTCAATCGCATAAAATTTTTTTTACAGTGGTTTAAAGTTAACACCTTTTTGATCACGGATTTAACTCTTGTGACTCCTATTTTGAAGCAGTTTCATGTATGCAAGTTCATGGAAAATGGCAGTTAGAGGGTTAAAATTTTCTACAAAAGCGTTATGTAGGAAATGGTTCAGCAGACATCGAACACCATTAAAAATTTGTCGTTGTAAATTAACAAATAATGTACAAATCGAGTTCTTGTCTTCAGACACCTATGGTTGTTAAAGTTCATAGTAAAATTTAGCGGCTAATTTGTTCTTTAACATTTTTAATCCTTTAACTACTCCCTTTATAAGGGTAATTAGAGTAAAAATGTTATGCAAAAGTATAAAACTCATATTCACTGAAGATAGAAGAGATCCGCTGATTGAAGATAAGTGGGATTATTTGAAACTTGGGTTAAGAGTTTTTAAGATAAAGTCCTAAATCGAATGTGCGCTCTGCTGCTCTAATGTAAAAACCTTGATTTTTACGCTAAATATTGTAGGTGTCTCTTTAAGAATAAGGCCTAAGACCGGTATTGCATTCTAATGTGAAATCGATACTGCTAGGTGTTTCAATTCCATGGCATATACAAGTTTGTGCGTACTTCGAAATATCTAAAGGGGTTTTTTTTTTTTAAATATGCTTATGCTACTGATTATTTTCGCTGCACTGAGTATAACTTTATACTACATTGTTGCTATTAATAAATGCATTGCTTTTAAACATCTTCGACATTTTCTTGCTGCTGCTCTTGCTGCGTGCCATCATAGCTCTCCTCCAGCTCTCGCATGTTGATAACCACATTTCCATTGGCAGTGTCTATAGCTGGCATAACTACAACCTCTTCAATATCAGTCGATGCTATCCCATCAATGATCGCCGTTGCGTCCGCTGGTACTGGCTTAACTGGTATTATGGGCACCAATCCATTCAGATCAGCACCATCCGATTTCACTGTTGCTGTGGAAGCAGCAGATACTGAGCCCATAGCAGGCATTGCGACATTCAGCGGCAGTGTATCGTCCTGGCGTAACAGTTGATGATGTTGGCCATGGCTGTGTGTTTTTGTTTTTGTTTTCGTATATATAATAACAATAACAACAAAAGTTTGTGTGTGGGCAAATTACTCAAATTTAAATTAACGGCACAATTGGATAAGAAACAAATGTATAGCGTAGCATACAACAATACAAGAAAATCAACAACAACAACATTAGTGTGTGTGTGGATCAATTTTGTCTTGTTCTATCTACTAGCGCCATCAAGCGTTCTTACTACTACATTTGCACTTATCTGCGTGCTGGATATTGGATTAGTTACTGGATTTGCTCGAGAATGCTAACCTGGTTTGTTGTGTGGTATCGCCCATGGAATCGTATGATGGCATCTGGTGCTGCTTTTGCGTGTTGTACGTCAATCCATCGCCGACACTGTGACACAAAACCACGAACGAGCATAGTATTTAGGTTATGAAAGATTTACAAGTTGTTTTTTTTTTTTGAAGATTTTTTAGTAAAGTCGCCACAGTATTTGCAAGTGAGTGTGTTATTTTGAATCATTATTTATAGCTTGTTTTGTGTGCGCAGCACTTCTTGTAAGTATGTTTAACGCTTGCTAAGAGGCACTCAACGTTTAGACAGTAGGAAGAGCAAGGATTTTATTTATTTAGTTTTTTTTTGGAGCACTTGGAGTTGGAAATTAACATGAGGATAATTTGATTAAATTTTAAGAGTGTTGACCCAAAATATTGTTTCCTTTATTTTTAGTGCGCATCATATATGTATGTATGTAAAAGTAAAAAAAAGTATAAGGTATATTTAGGGATAGTTAGAGTGACACAATAACGAAGCTATAGTGGATTTTCCCTGACTCGGTAATTTATTTTTGAGAGCGAGATCAGCGCGCTATTTGAATCCAATTTCAATTGAAATCCAGTGCAGAGATTATATTAACAAAATTCGCATTAGGGCCGTTAACTTATCTGTTTTAAAATATGTAAATAATCAGTTGAACTTAATTACAACAATTTCTAAGGCCCTTAGTGTTACATATTTTAACTCTTATAGTTTGCCATTTTATAGTCACGCTTATTAAGCTTTTAATAGAATTTAATAGAACGGCAAATAATAAAGTACCTTTTTGGCTAATCCCGAGAAGGTAATTTAGATAGACCCTCTTAAGTGACGTCATTCTAAAAGGCTTATCCAAGAAGTACTGTAAATAGAACTTCCCTGCATGTCTTCTAGAAAGGCGTTACCTACTTACAATTTAGGCATTTGTATAAGTTTAAATTAATTAGCATTATAAATGAATTTTAAGTTGTAAAGAAACATATGTACATATGGTATATTCGATAAGGACCTCAAAAAGGTATGAGTTTTATTAATTAGAGAAGCGGTCATTAAAAAATTAAAAAAAAACTGGAATGACTAATTATCTAATTTGTCAGAGACTATAAGTCCTATCGGAAAGTGATGTCACGATCTGATTGTCCCAAAATACATCTATCTTAGCTCGTCGAGATTGCTTTTCATCAACGCTGTGAGACTTTGGAATAATATACCAGAATCCGTCAAGTGCTAATAAATTACTATTTTGGGTCACTGCGAGGAGTGTGATTGCAATAATATTCTAAGTTTATTTTTAATTGATCTGTTACGCTGTAATAAAATACCAAATGAAGTTGATGCACTTTAAAAAGATTCTTATCTTATTTGTACCACCACTTTTGTTCAAATAAATAAATAAATATATGTATGGTTTATGGAGAATTATTAACTTTCATTTGCCGTATTTCATATTGAGATTGTTATACTGGTTCGTAAGATATACGTGTTTAAGTGGAACCACTTTTTGTTTTAGGCTGAATAACGGTAAATGGCAAATATCTCGAAAACGTATCCATAGAAAAAAAAAATTAACTCGATTTTCGTAATCACCGAGCAATTCTACATAGAAATTGGATAGTGGCGTCTGGAGAACAAAAACCAAAGTAAATTTTGCAATCCAGTGTATTTCGACTAATGCGTCTTTTTAGAAATTCACAACTTAATTTATACGCTTTACCATAAAAATTCATAAAAAATCACAGTTTAAAATAACAAATGTCCATTTTTGTGTAATAAAACTGACTCAAATAAAAATTTATGTTTTTAATTTGCCAAATAACATTTTTCTCGATAAAAACGTAAGCAGAACTCTATATAAGTGCTATATACATTCAGGTAATACATATCAGCAGACCTCAACGTCAAACGGGTTTAGGTGTACGACCAAAATAAAATAGAAATCGGAAGTAAAATTAAGACACAGGAAAGAGGATTACTAAGTGCACATTCTATAGCAAAGAAAAGTTAAAAATTGCATAAAACAAAAAAGCTGCACACACATTCACTGCACATATGGAAATTATTAACAAATTAAATACGCGTGTTACAAACATACAAATGTACATACAATTTTCTTGCTAAAAATGGAATTAAAAAATGTATTTACCTCGTGTAGACTGGCAAAAACCACAGTTTCCAGTTATCGCCGAACACTTCTTGGAAATTGGCATACTTTCCCAAATTGTAGCCATTCTTATCTGGACCACCTATGCGGAAAATTGGCGCGCGGAAAGCCTCTACGAAAATATATATGTATATTAGCGATTTTTCTTTTATATTTAAGCTACACTCTCCGAAGCCCTCCTACTCACCCAACGTTGTGCGGTTCATGAGCGTCAAGTAAACGTGATAACCGAAGAGGCTCACCAAACTTATTGCAAACATCAGCGACACAAAGAACAGGAACAATATGTGAAAACGACCCATGCCACCATTTAAATCACCCTGTTGTGAGAGATCCGACTTCATATTGTGTTTTTTTTTGTTTTTAATGAAGTTCAGTGTAAATAATAACAACAACTACTTGATCAAACCATGCTACATGCATACGGGAAGTAAAGGAGATATATTTGTATGTTTGTATGCTTACCCGCCAGAAGCGTATGAAATATTCGAGCGATGTTAAGGCCACATAAAGACAATATAGTAGCGCATATCCCAGGAAGAGTACAAAAAACTTGTAATTTGTAAAGTTAACACAATTGTTTACCCAGGGACAATGGTGATCCATTTTGAGTACACAGGAGCCACAGACACTGCAGTGATGTGCGCGATCTGGTTTGATTATTTTGCATTTTTCACAAAAACGCACCGATCCATTTAAAGTACTGACCAATGACGTTCGAAAATAGTTAATTATAATAGTATTAATAAAAACGACACTCACCGATTTGTGACTGGCAGCGTTTTGGCAAAGTTTTCTAAAATTCGCTTTTGTTGTTCCTGTGTGTCTGCATGGAAAATGTGTTCAATGTCTGATTCAGGTATGCGCCACTGCGAAAAAGTAAATAAATATATGGATACAAATTGGTAATAGATGAAAAAATGTTGCACTATTTGGAAAAATTTCTATGTAAGTAGGCAATATGTTGTTATTGTTCTGCTAATGTGGCAGAAATGGGCTTTACTAATTTAGTCATTCGGATCATTAAACCGTAGCTTTAGTAAACAACCTGGATTGGCATAGTGGGACCAACTCAAGCGGATAAAAGTCTACTGAATTTGTTGCAGCTGCCGTAGACGAGTGATTGTAGGTGCGCGCTTATACCTAGATTCGACTTCATGTCTGTGTAACATTTAAAAAGGCTTTTTTTTACGATAATGGTTTCCCCTTAGCAAGCATTGACAAACCTTCGGGGGTATTTCTGCCACGAAAACAACAAAGCAATCGCCGTTCCCAGGCGGCGTTAAACGGTAGGTATATCCATTAGTACTACAAAATCAAGGCGAAAGAGAAACTAGGCCAAACATTTAGCTAAATATTTATTCGCGAAGATTTACATATGTATGTATACAGTACATGTATCGGGCCAAGGACTGTTACTCCAACAACATGCCCCGAAACTATGTGAATTTTCATGCTGCAGCCGGATTCCAATATTTGCTATCGCTAATTTTGATCGTCAAAATCTCAAAAAGAATGTCAGGCGCGCCTAAAAGCACGCAACATATAGTTACATGCTCTCATACTGCCAGATTTGGCTTTTATACAATTTTAAGCACTTTGCTTATAGTTATGTGGTACATATTTCTAGGCTCCGTATTTTGCATATAAGAACTCACTCTACTGATTACACATTGCAGCTATTACTCTTCCATTCAGTATATTTTTGGGTCCCACTGCCTTTCATTTAGAGAATTTTGGCGGCGAAAATTTGGCGTAGCGATTGTCAGAATTCCACTGCTGTTATCACAACAACGACAACACCTTGTACGATATAAGTATGTACAGATTACGGCTTTGAAAGGAGCTTTTCGTTCATCACATAATAAATAAAATTGTTCGTTTTTCATTTCAATTCGCGTGTTGCTAAATTACATACAAGCAAACAACCTTTAGCAAACCGAATTAAAAACATTTAGGAACAGAAATCATTATTGCGAGAATGTGACGTCATTGTATAGCCGGTTTTGCATGTCCATTAAATTTAATGTGCAACAACAAAAAGCGTGCAGTGACTCCCATAGCGCTGGGAGCCGTGAGTGCAGTATGAACAACACACTCTAAGATTTTAACCTTTATCAGCTTATCAGCATTTATAAATACGCTAGCTTTGCATTAGATATGTATGCACATGTGTACATAGTATGTTATGCTTTTCAGCTAACAATGATTCATCATTCATACTCGCTAAAAGCAATGCATCAATTAATAGATAAAGCTGTTTAATACTAAGAAAACCACTTGTTACAGGAAGTTTATGTCAGGGCTTTCGAAACATTGTACATAGCGATAACACAAGTGTTGATAAGAAAATGTATCTTTAGTACCTATAATTACCTAAAAATTACGAAAAATCTATACATATATGCACCATTTATTGCTTTTCATACATACGATAAGTCCATTTGTTGTACTTACATTTGATGGCACTGTACCCACTGGTGTAAATATGGTATTCCAATAGGACCAGAAAAACAGCATGCATATTATATGATAGAATATGAGAAAAACGATCTTTTCAAAGGTGTTGTCAATGGATACTGTAAAAGAAATTGTGTTTTTTATTGAATTAGTCTACAAAAAGGAAATGTTAAACTTTATTTAATACATATGTATACGTACATAAGCAAAGCTGTACTACATAAGCGTAGTAGGACCACGCAATAACGGCGGAGATGAATATGACTGGTATCCACTTAAGCGCCGCCATACAATTGGCGCATGGTGTTGACTTCTTGCCATCATTATCATAATTTCCCATAGCGGCTGGCATGAATTGGTTAGGTGGATGGGTGATTTGTGTGGTGGTGGCGTAGAATACCTTTTGTTTGTTGGCTAAAGTTTTCGCATGTAACTGCAGTGCGTCTATCCAGACGAAAACGGTTAATTATTTTCTAGCTGCACTTTGCATCCTCACTTGGCAACAATACCTAGCTCTTCACGTCGCGTGTGTCGGAACACAATGCTGCGCGCTGGCAAGCGTTGCTTACCTAAGTTCGATAATTTTGCCGTGTATTGCACTACCTACAGATAAGCACACTTTGTACATTCGCTTCTCAACTTTGACTGGTTATTTCCCAATTCATGTACTTAATCACTCCCAGAGTACTTATTATTTTAACAATTCCTCTTTATGCCCTTTTGCTATTTACATGCGTAGCAGTACATCGAACTGCTGGCAATTATTGGAAGAGTTATTGGCCGTCTGGACATTACTCCTTCGCGCACCAGCACCTCTCAGCTAGATCTTATTTTGAGTGTTCGACTTCACCCGATGGGCGGTATTTGCTTCGCTACAAAACGGAAATAGCTGTTTAACGTAGTGAAAGTGAAATTAAATTTTCGTTTTCCAAATTTTTGCCCCAGCGCTCTTCACTTTTCTGGAGGAAAAGAAAAACACAACAAAACAACTGTCATCCAAAAACACAATGGTGAATTTGACAAATGAGTGCGGGAGTCGTTGCCAGACGCGTTGGATTACCAATGTTCATGTTGGATTACCGATAATTTAACCCTTGTTGGTTAAAGCCCAATTTGAAAAGTCACTAGCTGCAATTTAAACTTTGTTAAAATATATTTTGAAAGCGCGTTTAATTTTAATTACACTAGAATATAACCTTAGGAAATACAATAAGTAGAAAAGATACCTTTTCCCATGTGATAAAGGGATGCATAGTCACATGTACACAAAAGAACTGGTCAGGTTTTTCATAGTACCCCCGAATTTCTTATGAGGAAATTGCAGCTTTATTGCATCTGTACTGGCCGTCAGGTGACCGATCATTTGCCAGTCAGATTTCTTGTTGTTGTTGTAGCGGCCCCGCCCAGGACGGTTGGTATCTCAGTCGTTGTCGTCAAGTTCCACTAACGGCAGCCCTAGGAAGCGTGCAGCTTCTGTAGGGTTGGTCCACAGGGACAAAGCCGTTAGGGTTGTCGGGTTTTCCGGGCATGCGAAGAGATGTTTCGAGTCGTGTGGGGTCTCTCCGCATGTCGGACACTCATTTGGCACATCCTCATTCAATCTACTCAGGTAGGAGTTTAACCTGCTGCAGTAGCCGGAGCGAAGTTGTGCTAGTGTCGTTCGTGTCTCCCGAGGCAGATGAAGCTCCGTCTCGTCTGTGTCCGAAGGCGGTATGCCTAGAACGGCATTCACAGGTCTGGAGTCATTCCCACGACAGCCGGTTCTACGTACCGGAATGACTCGAGTTCTAGCCGACCAAGGGCTGTTAACATTAACGTTGCGATGCTATTGAGCCTGACCACCTTGAATTTGGCTTTACTAATGTCATTCGGCAACCGAAAAAAATGCCGATGAACCATGAAGAGGTGATGTTGAGCACATGTTTAGGTTTTATTTTGTAAATTTGACGTTGTCCAGACTTGCATAACAAGTTACTAGTATGCAATCTGGTCCTTTTATACATTTAGACTTTGAAACGACCTGCTGTGCTCCTTAAATTTTTGGAGGGCTTTCAAATGTTCAGCTTGAACAAATACAATAAAAATATTGCTTTCAGTCATATTTTTCAAATGTTTTCCGGATGATAATTTCAGTCGTTTTCTATTCGTTTCCGGAAACGAAAACGCGTGTTGTTTTTTGGACGTTCTTGGATACGTAAATGAACGAAAATTGTAGACGTTTTCTGCGGGATTCAGGATACGGAAAATTGTATGAGAGTGCTGTTTACAAAAATTCCGTTCCTCTGCTGGCAGGGTATGTACAAACATACATATCGTCGATGTTTTTGCAAAACCACCTATCTTACGGCACTCAATTTTACAGCAGAGCGAAAAAACGGGGTTTCTTTAAAGGCATTGTCTTGACAGGCGGTATATTCTCTAGCTATTATTTTACAAATCTGTTGTTTTAATACCGATTTTACGATTTTTATTCATAAATCCCGATGCCTGGAGTTCAAGGTTACCAAATCTCATTTTTGTCACGATGGCGATTTAGGCGGTTTTGCAAAAACATCGTCGCTATATATGTGTTATTTGGTTGTTTGGTGACATCGAATGGGATATCTGTGGACATTTGACAAAACAACTTAAGTCTGTCCATCACGGATATAAAAATAGCATATGTCCACAAAACATATTTTACCGTCAAAGAGAAAAATGTTGCAATTCGAAAGAAATGTTAAATTATTTTATCGCCATTCACAACCATTAAAAATGTTTCTGGTTGCAACCACTGCATGTTTTCATTTAAATAGAAATGATTGCTCTGACGGTACAAAGAGCTTCGCCGACATATGCCATTTTCTTTGTCCGTGAAAGATAGACTTAAGTTGTTTAGTCAAATGTCCACAGATATGTATGTTCTCTGGGATTTTAGAAAATTAGGGGAGCATAACCTAACCATATCGCTTACTATTTTATAATGAACTCATTTTTAGCGATAGAAGTGGGCATCTTAAGACCACCATATTTTCATTACGATATTTTCACTGAAGACTTATCTCCGTGTGGAATATACTGAGATCCTTGATCTGGCCGGCTCCAATGCCTACGGGTATATTTGAATCCGTTAACACTGAGCAAACGGCTCTAAATGACCTCGTTCTGGTCCATAGAAAAGCTGTTTCAACGCATATCATATATGCCAGCTCGTTTCCGAAAATTACGGAACTCATAAATTACGAATTTCGCCCGATCGGATTTTACTAGAATAAATATAAAAAAACCATCCGTTTCCTTTGAATAGAATTCCATAAACTAAATTATGCCTAAACAATGCAACTCTACGCTTCACAAGTACACTTGGATGCAATGCTGTAGAAGAGAGCGCCATCACGAAGAGAATAAGCACCGCCGCCGCTACTGCTACAATTGGCGTTGAGCGAACAATGCTCCCCAAAAAACGCTTGTGGGGGCTGCAAAGAAGTATACAAGACGAACTGGGTTGCGCAGAATTGAGTCGAAGTGAAGCCGTTGCCGAGTACAGTGAAGTAAAGTGAATTATCGGAATATTGGCCGAAAATTTCACAATCGTATCAATTTCTAAGAATAAAAGTAAATTCTCATAAAATAAACCGTTAATTACGAATGAAAATGAATGAAAAGTGTTTTGAAAAATGCTAAAAGTGTTATAAAACGTAAGATTAAAGTATGGCCAATGGATTTGTAACGGGGGGGACAATATCGAAAAAGCAAAAAACAACAAATTTATCCATACACTTTGCACAGCGATTGCACAAAGTTACTAGCAGACAGGCAAAGTCAATCGTTGTTCGCGCATACGAGTGGTGATATGCCTACATACATACGTATGCGCGTATGTAAATATGTGCATACATACGTATATATGCATATGAGTATGCAGTATATTGCACACGATCTTCAAAAGTGACTCAACTCAAATTTTGGCATTTTTGAAATTATGCGCTAAAAATGTACACAGAGCTTTTATTTACCTTTCAGGAAAAGCTGGAGCAAACTTTTTTAATGTTTTGTTGAAAAAACTTAAGGTAAAGTCTTCCTTACTCATATGATTAGCATGTGCTAAGAAATATTTTTTCGCATTTTCTAACGAACATGTAATTTTGAGTTGTGTCTCTTTTCGGGCATATGCATTTACGTACCTTTACCGTGTGAGCATATCAAACGAACGAGCAAATGTCCCGACCGTTTAGTATTCAGCCTGCAAGCATATTACTGTTTGTCTGCTTGTATTTCTCCGTCTGCATACCCAACAATTTCGCGCACTCCACTCCCCACCCCCTTAATTAACGAAAGTTGAAAAGTGATAAAAAGAGAAATGCTCTGCAATTCGATGAAAAATGGTGCGAGAAAAAGTGAGTGTTGTTGATTTTTCGGCGGCCGTGTTGGGGCTATCAGTGACAGCAACAACAAAAACAACAATACCAACAGCGATAACAGCGATAAGACTGTTGGTACGCTCTCTTTACCACGTTTGGTTGCCTGCACACCTGAAACCACTACTTTATATCTTTCATTCCATCTATCCTCCATGTGTGTGTATTCGTGTGATAAAAAAAAATGATAAAGAATGCACAAAAATAAAGGGAAAACGTGATCAAAGTCCAGTGAGCATTTGAGGGTCTCAGTGACATTGATAAACTACATATTTAGTAACTGTCGCATGCAATGCTAGCGCTATAGTGTGGCTCATCAGCTTCCAACACCCGGCGCCGTTCTAATGATGTGCCTAGATCTACTACCTTCTGTTTAGTAACGAGAATGTGCATCCAGAGATGTAGCGTTTCCGGGCAGAGGTAGAGTGTGATGTCCGTATGTACATATGTACATATATGCCATTCGGATTCATGACCCAGCAATAACATTATTGATTATTTCGGTGAAGCGGCCGCCGTCACGAAATACAAATGAAGCTTACCACCCACCAAGCGGTGTATGAAAAATGCCGGCTGCTGCGCGGTTGTCATGTGGTACATGTAGTAAGTATGTAGTAGCTACTCGCTGTGCTATTTTGTACGAATAAAAGTAGTTGTTGGCTTTGCACTCCCGCCTCGTACAGTAAATTCACGTACCCCACCAGCCAACCGCATGTACATACATATGTACATTTGTATGGTGTGTGTTGTTTTTGCTATTCTATGCATTATTGGTGTTGGTCTGAGCCTACGATGAGCTCTTATACTGGCATACATATCGCACACCGTCTTCAAATGAGTCACAACTAAAAATTTAGCAGTTTTGAAATTATGCGCTAAAAATGTACACAGAGCCTTTCAGCAAAAGCAGGAGCAAATTTTTGTTATAATTGTTTAAGAAAACCTAAGGTAAAATCGCCCTTGCCCATATGATTATCATGTGCTAAGAAATAGTTTTTCGAATTTTCTGGACAAACGTATTATTTTGAGTTGTGACTCTTTTGAAGACAGTGTGCGATATGTATGCACGCTCTCACATGGCTTTCGCTACGGTTTTCGCCGCACGACTTGTTGCGATTTCCTTCAGCTACCTTGGAGCATACATACTTACATATTTACATAAACATGTGTGTATGTTTGTATGTAATACACAATTTCGCACATTAGCCGCAACAGCAACAACAGCAACATTTGTAATGAACGAATGAGCGGAAATTATCGTTCATTCATTTTCGTTGCTCGACGACCTCATGTCGGCTGGTTCAGCATTGCGCTATATCCTTTCGTGTGCAGCTAGCACTTCAGTACGTTTCGGTTGGCTATCAAGTAGACATTTTCGTGGAAAATCAATTCGTTTTTTGTTATGGACAACGGCCTCGACGACGAGAGGCAGCGAGTTACCTGGCAATTAATATGTATTTTTGAGCCGCCTCGAATAGTTTAATGCTCGGTGATTTATAGTGAACAAATGAAAATGATTGCATGAGAGATAAAAAATGTGTACGTACATAAATATGTAGTTAGAAAAAATTTAATTAAATAAGAAAAATCCAATCATACGCGAATTCGTGAATAGAGCGTAGCATACTTAATACTAGGACATATTGCGAAAAGGTGCTGTGAAAGTGAAATTTTGAATTATGTATATTTTCCTTAGATCCAATTTGCAAAATTTTTTTAAGACTACGTATACGGGGTATATACTCGTAGGTTTGCAGCCAACCAGCCCACAAAAACTGCATTTCGACGCCTCAGAATCCTATTTTAAAAAGATAGTATCTTACACTGAAAAAAGAGTTCAGTTACGTCAACTTAATATGTTTCTCTCCACACATGATTTGGTTATAGTTACTTTATTTGGTGATAGTTACCAAATCATGTGTTTAGACTCTCAAGTTGAGAGAAATATATTGAGCCGACTTTTTCTGAGAGTATCTTTAAGTGTCCTGTCAGGTATCCAGTGGTAATTGCCTAAATTCCTAAGCTAAGTTTAAGCAGTCGCTCAGGGGCCCCACGAGATGTAGTTGCAAATTTTTTGGATTGCATTTTACTCTCTGACAAATGCTAGTGGGCCACCTGAGAGTACCTCTGTCCACTTGGCAGCTCTGCCGTGTATCCCTTGGATAGACCACAGAAGGCTGAGGGCCATAAATGCTGTACATTTCCCGTGAAGTGACAAAGGTTTTCTAGTTTGTTCAGTACAACTGTATACCGGCATTGACTACGTTTTACACGATTACAAGGCTCCTAATGCTGACTGGCTGCTTGTAGCCTCCTTACCTCTTCCAACAACGCCAGCAAATCCCTTGGTACACCTCTTTAAAGCCTGGGTCCAAATTGGCCTGCTTCACTGCATCCTCCTCTGATCGTTGTGATTACTGCTTTTCAAGAATCCCTTTCAGGTACATATATTAATTTTGTACCGCTTAAAATAGAAAATAAATGCGGTTCCATTGCTCCTTTGTTTTGAGACACTCAGACCGCTACTGAACTCTCTACCTCGGTTTTACCTAGCATCGGGGGGTTTCCACAGGACTTCGTACATTTTGTGAACAGTATTGGGTGTGGTTCATTACAGGCTCTAAAGCCCCTTGTC